GAGCATGGTATGGTTTCCCATTTATGTAGATCCCTTTGGGTTTCTTGCAGTAGTGTTTTGTAGTTTTCTTTATGTAGGTCTTTTACATCCCTGGTTAGATTTATTCCTAAGTATTTTATTTTTTTAGGGGCTATTATAAATGGCATTGTTTTCCTGATTTCCTTTTCATTGTTCTCTTTATTGGCGTACAGGATCAAAATGTATTCTTATTGAATGAATAAAAGTGGCCAAGAGGTCTGAATGGCTCCGTATGGCTACAACATATAGACTTTCTAAATGAGTCAATTACACTTCAGTGTAAGGGACCAGAGCTAGTCAATATTGGGAAAGAATATTGAGAGAGGGATGGAGGATTCAGAGAAAGAAGTGGGAAAATAAGGAGAGAGACAGACAATCAGAGACAGAGTGAGATAGTTTCACCAATTTATATGCACATGCATTTGTCTCTCCAACCAAATTCTAAGCAATTTGAGGATAGAAACAGTATGTTGAGCTTTTATTGTCCCTCTGCAGCATTGGGCACATGTTTGATGGTCACCCTGGTGGCACAGTGGTTAAGTATTTGGCTGTTAACCAAAAGGTCGGCAGTTCGAATCCACCAGCTGCTCCTTGGAAACCCTATGGGGAAGTTCTACTCTGTCCTATAGGGTCACTATGAGTCAGAATCGACTCGATGGCAATGGGTTTTTGGTTTTTATTCACCCGTGATGGATACGACAATGCCAATGTTGATGCAAAGTAGTACGGAGCAGGGGCCAATGAACATTTGATGGGGGGTGGGGAAAGAGACCTAGTTTGAATATTAGCTTTGTCATTTACAAGTTATGACACTGAGCAAATCCCTTCAGGGCACTGATTTTCTTGTCGCTAAACTAGGCACAATTATACCTATTCTAAATACCTTATGACTGTGCATCTCACTAGGTCCTTCAGTGCTGTTTGCCAATCCTTCTCCCTGGTGAGCATCCCCCTGGTGATTGCTTCAAATATTCACCACTCTTTATGAGCTCCCTACTCTACCTCCTCCCTATCTAGCTATTACCCTATCTTGATCACTCTCTTTGCAGCCAAGATTCTTAAACAAGCCATTTAATATTGATGTCTCTACTTCTTCAGCCTTCCATTCACTGCTCTGCTCAGTTCTCTGCAGTCTAGTTTCTGCCATTAGCCTCCCACTGAAAAGGTTCTCACCAAGGTCGTCAACAATTTTCTTGTAATAAATTCCAATGGCCGTATTTTTGTCATCTCACCTTGTCACTCTCTTTCATAAAACTGTCTTCTTGTTTTCTGTAACACCACTCAAAGTTTTCCCTGCTCCTTAAAATGATTATTCTAAGTCTGCCCACCCTTTAAATCTGACTATTCCCTCCGGGAAGGAGCCCTGGTGGCACAGTGGTTAAAGCTGCTAACCTAAAGGTCATTGGTTCGAATCCACCAGGCACCTCATGGGAGAAAGATGTGGCAGTCTGCTTCTGTAAAGGTTTACAGCTTCGGAAACCCTATAGGGCAGTTCTACTCTGTCCTATAGGGTCACTGTGAGTCAGAATTGACTCGACGGCAATGGGTTTTTTTGTTTGTGTGTGTGTGTGTGTGTGTGTGTGTGTGTGTGTTTCCCTCCAGGATTTCAGCTAGACTTCTCTTTTTACTCTTCACATTCTCCATAGGTGACCTCATCCACTCCATTTCTATGCCAGTGACTCCTGAATTCATACCTCTGGCATAGATCTCTCTCCTAAACTCAAGATTTGTATACTCAACATTTAGAATGGCTCCACCTACATATTTTAGTGGCATCTTAAACTCAACATTTGCAAAGCTGAAATCATCTGCCTCCTTCTCTCCCTACCCCCAAACTGCACCTCATACAATGTTCCCTATCTCAATAAGATCATCATCCATACAATAACCCAAGCAAGTCATCTTCTTGACTTCTGGCACCCCCACGTATAATCAATTATGAAGATTTGCCTTCAATCCATCCACTTCTCCCCATCTCCTCTGCCCAAATCTTAGTTCAAACTATGCAAG